CCTGTCTAGTCTACACTAATAAAAGAGAACATGGTAATTAGTGTACGACCGCTACCCTTCCCATTGGCTAATCAGCATATCCTTATGCAAATTAACTGTCAGCCAAGATGGCGGCCGGCAGCCAGGCAGCTGGAAGCGAAACATGAGGCTGCTTGCTCCAGTGACTGCAGACTGCAACGTTCCCCGCCTGACTTGCCGGCCTCTGAGTTGCAACTCTAAGCAACTATGTATTATGTTGCAAATGTAGAAGCTAAACAAAACCCCAGAAACCAGCTTTCAGCCTGCCGGGATCTCAGAGCTGAAGTTATACATTGTTTCGATTATAGAACGGCAAACAAACCAGATACAAAGCCTCAGAGCTAGAGCCAGAGCTAAAGCTGGCCCAGAATAAAATAAAAAAAAGAGAAAAAAAAGGGGCGGTTGGGAGCTTCAGTCAACAACTGCCAGCCTGAAAGCAGCCCTCAGCCCCTCACCCAGACTGGCCAGGCACCCCAGTGGGGACCCCCACCCTGAAGGGTGTGTGACCAGCTGCAAACAGCCATCATCCCCTCATCCAGGCTGGCCAGGCACCCCAGTGGGGACCCCCACCCTGATCCAGGACACCCTTCAGGGCAAACCAGCTGGCCCCCAGGCCTCTATCCTATATAGTAAAAGGGTAATATGCCTCCCAGCACCGGGATCAGCGGAGCTGCGAGGCCTCTTGGCACCAGATCAGCGTGACAGGGGGTAGCACCCAAACCCCCTGATCGCCCTGCAGCTCTGTGTGTGACAGGGGGCGGGGCCACAACCTCCCTATCCGCCCTGCTCTGTTCGTGACAGGGGAAGGCGCCCCAACCCCCTGATGGGCCCTGCTCTGTGTGTGACAGGGGTGCGGCGCCCCAACCACATGATCGCATTGCTCTGTTCTGGTTTTCTTCCTCTGGACACAAAACCATTTTTCTACCCTAATATCTGTTCTAAACTGGGTTTAGAAATAGCCCCACATTTATCCTCGAAAAGAAGCAGAGTAAGGGGGTCCTTAGAAAAGAACAGCATGCCCCCAGAAATATTGGAAGAGAGGAGTATGGTTCTGCAGTTACTATGAACACGGCTTTCAGTTACACATTGGTGTGGCTGAAGAGCTAGAGCCTACCTCTTTCTTTCTGTATCTGTATTATATTTTCCCGAGTCATATCTCCACCCCTTTGTTG